ATATATATATATACGAACGTTTGTTTATATTTTGTTTTGTCATTTTGTTCCTATTATTCAGTATGTGTTTATTTTTTATTCGACGATACAGCAAAGATAGGTTGAATGATGTGCATGGATAAAAAGAAAATCCTCTTTCATAAATTCTTTTACAAATCTTCTTATTTCTACAGATAGTTTGAATGACTTCTGTCAAGAATAATAAGTTTTATTTCTATTTATTTTCGATTATTATTATTATTTTTTTGAAAATATTTTATATTTTACGATTGTATTTAAGGTTTAAGTACTTGGAAACATATAATAGATAATATTTTATAAGAACATCATATTTTGTTAAGGAATTTTAATCTATCATTTAATATATTATCTGATATTTTACTATTTATTTGAAATATCAATTTGAATCTGTAATTATTGTGAATAATTTTAAAATCCATCTTTTATATCTAAGATTATTATTTTCTAATGTATACATTAATAAAATATATAATAGTAATAATAAAAATTATTAATGTAATAAATAAATAAATAAAATAATAAATATATATATATATATATATATAATACAAAATTTAAAAATTTATTTGACTTAAATATATAAATTTTATGGAATTAAAATATATTATATATATAATTAATTATATATCATATAATATAATTATTATATTATGTAATTTTATTATAAAATTAAAATAGAATCTCCATGGCGGTTTTTTTTTATGCTCGATAATAATAATAATAATAATTAAAATTAAAATATTAATTTTATTAAAATAATAAATATATAAATATATAATAAAATAATATTAAACATTATCATTATTATTATTATTATTATTATTATTTTCTCAATTATATTAAACCGTACATAAATATAATTGAAAATTGTAATAGAATCGATAGAATCTTATGAAAAAAAAAAAAAAGAAAAAAAGAAATTCACAACTTCCGAAGGATTTTTCGTCTGTAGTTTTTCTCTCTTTCGTTTTTATCCTCTGGTTTTCATACATCTATGTATTTTCTATCAAAGACCTTACCTTCCGTGAGCTATTGGTTATGAATTATTCACGATGAACGATTCCCGAGAAGGAAAAAGGTAGTAACATTGCTAGCCGGATGCTATATATAATTCGGGAAGAAGTTTCGAATCGAAAATAAGAGAGATAGTGAAAGAAAAAT